CGTGGAAGTTGCCGAAGGAACTCTTGACCTTGATGACTGGCGCAGCTGTTCGGTGGCGTGCGGGGTGCGGGGGGGGAAGTGAAAAAGAGCAGGCGTTCTCAGAAGGCGGCGGGACTTTTGAGAAGCCCTCCGGCCATATGGGAGCTTGTCCGTGTCTTCGGGGGAGGCTCAGAGAAATTGTCAGAAGGCTGGGGGCCTTCTGACCTTCCTGAGAAGGCCCGCTCCCTCGGACTTCCCTCCTGAGCTCGCCGCCGATAGCTGCTCATCTTTATACGGGGGGCCCAGAGCTCTCGACACTTTGTCTCGTATGGACTGCGCGTCGTGGGCTGTCCTCTGTGGGCCCCAGGGCCCGAAATACGCCACCACATGCGCACACGAAGAAACTCAGCCGCCCCCCATTTTTCTACATGGCGCTGACGCCTGGGTCGTCGTTGGACCGCCGCGAGCCAGGGAAAGCCTTTCGAGACAGCCCGCGCTCGCGTCCCAGGGAGCCTCCCCCGACGAGGCGGAGCCGCTGGTCAAGGGCACCTCGGGGCCTGAAGACTTGAGCAGGGGCTGACTGTCCTGGCATATCCATAGGCCTACCACGACATGTTCTTGGAGCCCGACGATGCCATAAGAACGAAACAGTGCTCTTAGAACATAAATCCGATGTATGGATACAAGCCAGTCTCAATCAGATATGTTCTGAGAACGCCTTGCGCAGGCCACAAAACTGGTTTTCAGGACATTCTCTGGTGGGCCTATATGGCAAGCCAGGACGCTTCGCTACTGCTCGATCCGGGGCACCTCAGGGCCTGAAGAAACACGAGAACTTCAACAGAACCTCCGGACTCTTTCAGTCAGCGGCGCAGAAGGCCCTCAAGCGCGAGCAGCGGATGGAAGTGTTCATTGCGATCGAGCAGTGTCGAAGGCACAATGCAATTTCCGAGACGCGCACAGTATCTCCAGACACGCACGAACACCTCCCGCAGAGGCAGAGGCGCCGCAACTGCAGCATCCGCGGCAGGCGCTGCAGCCCCGGAGGCAGGCGGCGAGGGCCACGGAGGGGTGCGCCGACGGGGCGGGCGGGGCACGCAGCTGCCGGGGAGACGCAAGACTCGGGCTCGGGGGGCTCAGGCTTTGGCGGCGAGCGAAGGGGGGGGAAATGAGAAGGAGAATGCCTTTTCAGAAGGCGGCGGGAAGTTTTCTTCTGTGCCTTCGGGGAAGACTTTGAAAACTTCTCAGAACGCCCGGGGGCTTCCGAGCCTTCTGAGAAGGGCCGCCCCTTCTCACTTCCCCCCTCGCTCGCCGCCGAGGGTTGGCCTGACAGGGCCATCATGGAAACGACGAGACCCGGTCTGAAATTGGACGCGAACTCCCGCTGCAGACACCCCACGAAAACCAGACGTCAGAATCCGGGACGCGCTCGTCAAGAGGCGTCGGCAGGCCCGAGCTCCTGCGCACTCGAGCCTGACGTTTTCCCGAGGATGACAGGTGCGCCCCGGCCTTCTGCACAAGGCCAGGCCGCACGGTCACTGTACTCAGCCGGACGTCTCGGGCCACTGCCCCGCACCGCACGCGCACGCAAGGCCCTGCCCACACAGGGCGCAGGCGGCAGGGAAGCCCGGCACTCCCGAGCGCATGGTCCTGCGCTGCTGCTTCCACTCTCTCTTCCGCAGCTTCTTGACACCCGGAGGGCATAGGTGGCAGAACCTGGGAGCAAGAAAATACGACATCACCATGGCCCAGACATCTCCTTCTGCGCGTTCTGACCAGGATTCCGAAGCGAATCCGGCCGTGGCGACGGGGGAAGGGCAGCGGTACGGGCAGCGGTATGGGTCTCGTTCCCCTCCTCTGAGGACTTGCATTCGTAGCCGCTCTCGCACGCATCCTTGAAGAAGAACGCGCACGGCTTGCAGATGCCCAGCGCATGGCCCTGGGAGCCCACCTGAGGAGAAACAGAAGTGGGGGATTTGCTCGGAGGGGGGGACATTGACTTGGAATCGGCGATAGGCCCTGGATAACAAAACTGCCTTTCCTGGGCGGAGTGGGGCAGCCAGGCTACGATTGTCGATGAATGGGCGATTGGGGGTCGATGTTCCCCCCCTGGGCCAGTCCGCTGACCACCGACGGCAGCGCGAGCTCGCCCAGGCCTGGCGGGGGCGCCACTGCGGCTGCCGGCGGCTGGCCAGTGGGGCGTGCGGCGGCAGAGCTGGCGTCGTCCTGCGAGGCTCCTCCTCCTCCTCCTCCTCCTCCTCCTCCTCCTCCTCCTCCTCCTTCCTCCCCCTCTCCCTCTCCTCCTCCCTCCTCCTCCCCCCTCCTCCCTCCTCCTCCTCCTCCCTCTCCTCCTCGTCCTCCTCGTCCTCTTCCTCCTCCTCCTCCCTCCTCCTCCTCCTCCTCCTCCTCCTCCTCCTTATCCTCCTGCCCCGCGGGCGTTATGGTCGGCACTCGGGGCCCTCCCCTCTTGCGACCGCTGCAAGGGATTCCAGGGGTGGTAGGGTCAATGCTGGAGGCTTGGATAATATATGGATAATGTGTGGATAATGGCGAAAGGTCTGGAGAACGTATACATCGCCAAGTACGGGAAATATAAGGATAATGTTTTGAAACTAGCAACAGAGACCCCGGGGGGTAGATCCAAATTATGTGTTTGAGTGTGTGCATATATATATATATACATATGTATATGTGTGTGTGGACGTATATGTACGGTGAATTGTAAGCAGTCGCAACACATGCATGCAAAGCGATGCAAGGCAATGTATCATAACATAAATCAATGCAAAACAACGAAGAACAGCACACATAACGGCAACACAACGCAAAACAACGCAACACATCGCAAGGCAACGCAATCCAAAGCAAGGCGTAACAATACAAAGTATTCCGAAATACTGCAGGACCAGACGACGGCGACGACGATGTGGCGACGGGGCGGCGACGGCGACAACATAGCCGCCAACCCGCCACGCAGGCCCGGACCACTGGCGGCGACGAGGCGGCCCTGACGACAACATAGCCGCCAGACCGCCGCGTTGGCCCAGACGACGGGGGCGACGAGGCGGCGACGGCGACAACATAACCGCCAGAATGCGACACACGCCCAATTCCTTAGAAAATAAATTAAAACCCAAAAATGCAACTCCGGGCGATAATCTAGCACCACGTGTCTGTGCAAGTGCACGTGGAAGTCGGAGGATGCCCATGCTCTCCCACTTCTGGTGGCGTCCCTCGCCCCGTCTCCCCCGCGCGCAACCACGAACGCTGACGCGGACGCTGACACTGACACTGAAACACACACACACACACACACACACATTTCCGTCGGCGGCGAAGCAGAATTGGCTGCACCAGCGATAGAGCTAGACGGGGGGCACCGACAAGCGAATTGGCCAGCATGCAAGACTGGGAATAGGGCAGAGCGGGCGGCCGCAGGAGTGGGAGGGAAAGAAAAGGCAACTCAGAGGCGGATGAACTGTCACCCGAGGGTGCTGGCGCGGCCAGCCTCGCCAGCGGGAACCACGGCAGCTGCTGGGCCGCGGCGCCGGGGCACCCGCGGGCGCTGACGGGGCCCGCTGCAGGCAGAGGAAGCGCGCGCTGCAGTGGCGTCGCCTAAGTAGTGCACGGGGGGCTAGGTCGACAGAAGAGGGCCGCAGGCCGCCGAGGTGGGTGGCGCGCGACAAGGCACGGCAAGTACATGCGCAGTCTAGGCTTGGACTGCAGCCGGCAAAATGCAGGGCCCGCGGAGGGGGGCGGGCGGCGGGGCCAAACCTGGGTGCCCGACCGCGCGGAGGGGCCGCGAGCTGCGGCCGCCTCGCGAACGCCACGGCGGCTCGCGGAGGGAAGGAAGGAAAGAGAACGGCGAGGGGGGGGGGAGGGGGCGAGGAAGAGGAACGCCCCGCCTGCGGGATGGATGATCCCCGCAGGCGGGGCGGCAGCGCCGGCGCCAGCGCTTGCGGGCGGCGGGCAGACGGCCCGCGCGCTGCGCTGCTGCGGTCGCCTGCGCGCTGCCCCGGTCGGCGGGCCAGGGCAGCTGAGGCGCTCGTGGCTGCCAGCAAGGGGCAGTTGCGAGGACGTGCCCGTGCTGAGACTGCGGCCGAGGCCGAGGGGCCGCGCGCTGCTGAGGTAGGGAGTGCAGGCCAAGAGCAGGGGCACCTAACTGGCGCGGAAGATGCGAGTGAGTCGGCCGGGGCCGGGCGGGGCCGCTCGCAGCTGGGGTGGGCAGCGCGCGGCCGCGGCGCCGAGCCTGTCAAAACTGCGGCCGAGGCCGAGAGGTCGCGCGCTGCTGGGGCAAACGGCGCGGGCCGAGTCAAGGGGCACCTAATCGGCGCGGGAACTGTTTATCTGAAGCGGCCAAGGCAGAGGGGGCCGCGCGCTGCCGGGGTGGGCAGCGCGCGGCCGGGGCGCCAAAGGAGGGGTCCAGAGCCGGGAAAGATGCCGCGCGCCGTCAGGGCGGTTGTCGCGCGGCGACTAGGTCTGCCGACTGGCTCGGAGGGCGACGAGGATCGGCGACTACAATGGGTGCGGTTTGCAAGGGGTGCGGTTTGCCTCCCATCACGTCTGCCCCCCCCGCCCCTGGGAAACGGATGGCGCTGTCACTCAACGCGACCGAATCACATGACACTGTCGCTCCTTCCAGCACAATGGGGCGCGCATCGAGAATGACAGCGTCGCTCGAAACGACGACATTTATGACATCGTCTCTCGCAAAGTCCCCTGAAAGGCCGCCACACAGCAACTCGCAAACCGCACCCTGGCGCAACCGCGCCACTCGCAGTCGCCGAGAGGAGGCGGCGCCGACGCGTTGGGCGCCTCGCCCGGTCGAGCGCGCACTGCGGGCTGGGCGAGAGCGGCGCGGGCGGGGGCCAGCGTCTGCGCCGTGGCCGAGGGTTCGGAAATGCGCCGTGGCGCCGTCGCGTCGGGTTCCCGCCTGGGTCCGCGCGGCCCGCCGCCCGCCGCCCCGCTCGGACTCGGTGCGTCTCTGAGCATGGCGGCGTCTTGCGCGAGCGCCCCGTCGGTTCCTGGCGGCCCCTGGACCGGGGTCGCCGCGGTTCGGGGGGGCCTTGCAGACTGGGGGGAGGAGGGGGGTCGTCGTCGTCGCCGACGCAATCGTCTTCGCCCAGGGCCGCCACGAGGCCGCCTCCTCCAGGGCCGTCGTCGCCGCTTCTCAGCGGACGGGGGCCGCCCGAACCGCTGGCCGGGAAGGGCGGACAGATGGGGGCGAAGGGGCCTGGTCTGACCAGGCGACGGGGCGCCGCTCTGTTCGCCGTTCTGCCCACCTCCTTCCAGGAGGGCGTCGCTCCTCCACCTGCAGGCCCAGTTCTCCGACCGCTGGGCGCAGCAGCAGCCCGAGGCCTGCCCGCCAATGGCGGCCGCGCGAGCCATCGGGGCGCTTCCAGCCTGTGGGCAGGCGGCCGCGCCAGGGAGGGTCGCGCAAACCTGGCCGCCGACGGGCCGCGCTCGATCCCTGGAGCCAGGGGGCGCGCCAGCGGCGACGTCTGAGGTCGAGCCAGGGGGGTCGGTTGCTCCCGCGGCGCTGCCCCGCCGTCTGCTGCCGCGCGCCGCTCGGGCGTCAAGCCGTTGCTGCGCGCTGCCTCCGCGCGCGCGACTGGGGCCGCCAGGGGCTGCCTGTGGGGCTGGGGGGTTGCCCTCTGACCAAGGGCGGCCGGATCTCGTCGGGGCCTGCCCTCCTCTTCCAGGGGGGCCGACTCCCGGGGGGGGCGCGCGGGCGTCGTCCTTGGGCGGGGTGGCCCGGGGCGAGTTGGGCCCGACCCCGCGGGCGCCTCGCGCCCCGGCTGCGCCGCATAGCTCGCGCGACATCCGTCACTGGGGCGCCGCTAATGCTGGCAAGTCGTTGCGAGAAAGCACCCGCGCCGCCCCTGGGCGGGGGCGGCGAAGAGCGAGGCGCGACCAGCCTTCATCGCTGGGGGCGCCACTGATCGCGGCAATTCCACGTGGGGAAACGTCTGCGAGGTCTCCAGGGGGCGTCTGGGCGCCTCTGCGGGGGCTCCTCGGGGGCCTCTGGGGGCTTCTTGGGAGCGCCCAGGAGGCTTCCTGGATGGTTTTGCGGCATGTTTGGAGCCAGACGGCTTTAAAAAAGAGCCCGCGGCCCTGCTTGGAACCCTCTCGTGCCCTCTTGAGGCTCGCTCATGGCACTTTTGGGGCTCGCTGAGGCCGCCTCGGAGCCTTCTAGGGCGCCTCTTGGACCGTTTTGGGCGCTTTGTTCTTGAAGGGAGGAGTCATTCTATAAATATACGTCTTGCAAAAGGAATGGGCCCACTTTGGTATCCCGGGGTTCTTTTGGGTGGCCTCTGGGAGCTTTTTGGGGGCGTCTTGGCGCCTCTTGGCCCTTCTGGAAGCCAGCGTGGGCCGTCTTGGAGCGCCCCTGGGATTCTCTCGGGGCGTCTCGGAGGCCTCTCGGGCGCTCTTGGGCGGACTGGGAAGCCCGGGGACCGCCGGAAGAGCATCCCAGGAGGCTCTCCTAGGCCGTCTTGCGGCTGTCCTGGACGCGTTCTTGGGCGCCTCTTCGGGCCTTTGGGGGTTTCTCTTAATATATATATATGTTTTACGAAAGGAATGGGGCCAGTTTTGTCTCCTGGGGCTCTCTTGGAGGGCCTCTTGGAGCATTCTTGGAGCGTTCTGAGGGCCTCGTGGCCCTCCTGGAAACCATCTTGGGCCGCGTCGGAGCGCCCCGGGGCGACCGGGGAATCTCTTGGGCCACTTGGGCGGACTCGGAGGCCCGGGGACCGCCGGAGCTTCCCGGGAGGCCCTCCTGGGCCGTTTGGGGCTGTCTCACCCGTCTTGGGGCGTCATTGGGCGCCTCTTGGAGCTTTTTGACCGCTCCGATGTCCAAGGGGGCTGATATCCTCAAAACGTACGCCTTACGCAAGGAATTGGGCCATTTTGGTTTCCCGGGGCGCTCTCGGTGGGGCCTCTTGGCGGCCTCTTGGGGCGGCATGAGGGCCTCTTGTCCCTTCTGGAAGCGATCTCTGGCGGTCTTGAAGCGATCCTGGGGTTCTCTCGGCGATGTCGGAGCCTTCTTGGGCGGACTGGAACGCGCGGGGGCCGCTGGAGGGGCGTGCCGGGAGGGGGCCGCTACCTATGTACAACGGAGGTCCCGGCCCGGGGCCCGGGGCCCGGGAATTCCCAAGGGGGCCACTAGGAGGTCCCGGCCCGGGGCCCGGGGCCAGGAACTCCCATGTATGTATGTGTATGTGTGCATA